ATTCATGAAGGAACAGAACTAGTAAGTGGTAGAGCTGGGATGGAAACTCAAACCTGAAGTCAAGACCCACAACATAAAGTCTTCCCCACCTTTTAACTGCAACTCAACTGCATCAGTCTCTAATGATTCATGTACCAAAAGACCACAATATTCCTGTCAGTGGGTTTAGTATTGGCTAACAGAGTACCATCCATCACCTAGCTGTTGATCAGAAGGCATATGGAATTATATCTTTGCCAAGCTGAATTATTTTACGTAATAGTGGTAACAAAGATTTTCCTAGAAATTTCCCTTGGATTATAGTTAGACCTATGGCAGGCAGTGGAAAATCTTGGCCCTGGAAGACTCCTGAGCTCTTTTCTCATGGCTATGCTTCCTTGACCTGGGTGAGCTGTTTTCTATCTATGGGAAGTGGCTAACTGGATAGATTTCCTGTGCCATGGAAATCGTTCACTCTTGAGTATTACTTTGTCAATATGCTGCTGCAAAGGAAGATTATGAGCTCAAACTCAAGCTCTTCTAATCACCCAGCATTTTCAATTTCATCAGCTTTCATCCCGAGCCTTAAAAAAGATTTCTAAAATCATACAAAAACAACTAAAAGCCTGCTATGGTTTCTCGGTCTCCATGGAAATGCTAGGAATGGATGCTGTGTTGACTTCTTCACACATCTCTTGGACTATTTTGTTAATGCCTTTTATGTATGGTACTTGGCAGTTTACAAAGCCCTTTCTCACTTATTATCTCAGTTAATCCCCACAACAAACCCACGTGGGAAGTATTATTACCCATGTTTAACATATTATGAAACCTAAATTTAGAGAAGATAAGTGGTCTAACCAAAGTTTACAAGTGGTAAATTCACTTACAGTTTGCAAGTGGTAAGTTCAACATTTAAATTTTGGTTTGTCTGATGCCATGGCTGCTACTCTTGCCACTATAACCAAAACTGTGTAGCCTAGAGTAGATCACTTTGATGCCCTAGTGCCATTGCTTGTCCCTTGAAAATTCACCTCATGGGTACTTTACATTGTTGATATACAGCCTAAAAGAAAGCATCCCCGACAAGGAATTAACAAACTTTAGTTCTGTTTCTAATTCAAGTCACCTTGACTTATTCATATAATCGACAGCTTCTTCCACAGGTAAATGGAAATAATAATCCTTGCCCACTTTCTCCCTTCTGTTATCTCCTCTACTAATACTACCTTAGATGAAACACATTAAGCTTCATAGAGCTGGGAATATTATAAAACTTTGCAAATGCATGGCTTACCACAAATTCAGCCTTGTGATTACCGGTAATGTGAAGACCTTTGTTATGATTTTCTTCCTTTTTTTTTTTTCTTTTTGAGACGGAGTCTCGCCCTGTCGCCCAGGCTCAAGTGCAGTGGCGTGATCTCAGCTCACTGCAAGCTCCACCCACCTCCCGGGTTCGCGCCATTCTCCTGCCTCAGCCTCCCGAGTAGCTGGGACTACAGGCCCCCACCACCACACCCGGCTAGTTTTTTGTATTTTTTAGTAGAGACGGGGTTTCACTGTGTTAGCCAGGATGGTCTCGATCTCCTGACCTTGTGATCTGCCCGCCTCAGCCTCCCAAAGTGCTAGGATTACAGGCGTAAGCCACCACGCCCAGCCAATTTTCTTCCTTTTAACCTTAACCCTCGATAACTTTACCCAACAAATGACATCAGTTCCTCACTCCTATCTGTTGGCACTTACTGCTAGGTGCGCACTGCTGCTTCTTACTCAAAGTGCCTGTGACTTAGAAGAAGGGCTTTCTTTGGCCTCAGAGTACATGCAGCTTGAGTACAAGGAAGACACAGTGGGGTGTAAGGGTTGGTGGACCACCCCTTGTACTCTACAATGAATCCCAGAAGTTCTCTAAGTATTCAATTCCAACTTCCCAAGACAGTAACCTGCTCATTAATGCAAACTGATTTGGCCTCCTTGCCTTTTCTTTTTTGTTTGTTTGGTTTTTGGTTTTTGTTTTGTTTTGTTTTGTTTTCAGGTGGAGTCTTGCTCTGTTGCCCAGGCTGAAGTGCAGTGGTTCTAGCTGGGCTCACTGCAACCTCAGCCTCCCGAGTTCAAGTGATTCCTCTGCCTCAGCCTCCTGAGTAGCTGGGACTGCAAGCCACGTGCCACCACGCCCGGCTAATTTTTTGTATTTTAGTAGAGATGGGGTTTTACTGTGTTGGTCAAGATGGTCTCGATCTCCTGACCTCGTGATCTGCCCGCCTCAGCCTCCCAAAGTGCTGGGACTACAGGCATGAGCCACTGCACCTGGCCCCTCCTTGCCTTTTCTTTCTCACTTCTGTCTGTCCTACCTGTACATCTAGAGATCACCTCCTAGATAGACTACACATGTCCTAGTCTCAGCATCCACTTCTAGAAAAACCCCAAACTGTGAGACAATCCAGGATAAGTAGTAGCTTCACCAGGTAGTTTGTGTAAGGGACTGAGTGACAATTCCCCCCACCCTGTCTTTCTTTTCCTCACAGAGAGTGTGTTATATGGCCCATCTTGCCTCCTTTACTGAAAGCTCTGAAAATTTCACCTTGCCCAACTCACAAATTCTCTTATATATCCTGTAACTTTCTTAAGTCCTACTTTTCCTCCCTTTCAAAATTTTCAGATTGTCTTAGGAAAATCTCCAAGTTCTTCATTTTATTTTTGAGACTCCAACATTTTCTAACTTGTGTCTGAAAATGCAAGAGCACCTAGAGACAGAAAGTCATATTTTCTAAGTATTACTGAACATAATGAAAATAACCACTTCCAACCTCCAAAGCACTGAAAAGTGTCCTTAAGGTCCCCCTCTCAGAATCACTATAAATGTCTTCTTTTTCCTCCTTAACTTCATATAAACCCAACTTTCTTTAAGTAGCACCTTTCAGGATGTAATGGGCTGAATGTATGTGTCATTCCAAAATATGTTGCAGGCCTAACCCCAATGTGGAAGTAAAGAGGTAATTAAGATTAAATGAAATCATAAGTGTTGGGGCCCTGATCCGTTAAGATTGGTGTCCTTACAAGAAGAGACACCAGATCTCTTGTGGTCTCTCTGTCTCTCTCCCTCTCTTTGTCCCCTCTTTTCACCCTGTGAGGACAAAGCAAGAAGGCAGCTATCTGCACGCCAAGAAAAGAGCCCTCAATAAAGTCCAAACTTGCAGACCTTAATCTGAGACTTCTCATCCCCAGATCTGTGCGAAAATAAATTTCTGCAGTTTAAGACACCCAATTTATGGTATTTTGTTATGGCAGCTATGCAGACTAAGACACAAGATAAATGTAAATTTATTTATCTTATAATTGTCTAATTTTTCTTTCTTTTTTGTTTGCAAGTGGGATATCAGGATGTTTTAAAACTATTTTTCACTATAAAGAGTATTGCAGTAATATCAAATATGTAATAGTTCTCTCTGGGTGATAATTAAACAAAGTAGCATGAATACCACGATTTCCAAAACAATTTTAAATCTCAGAGGATGACGACACCCTCCCAACCTTTTTCTTCACCTTTGTAATAGTGACAGATACTGCAAAATTGGACAAGAGCAAGAAGTTTGTACTCTAAATATACAAGCTATTCACAGGATGACTTCACTTTAAACTATAGAGTTTCACTGTGCTCTGGTGTAAAAAGCATCAAGAATTGATCAAACACTATTTTTGTGTATTAGTTTTCCATGACGACACACAATATATGTTCTATACCAACACTGAGTTTATTTGTTCAATGTAAACAAAAAAAGAGAATTTATTTGCTCACATACTTTCCTAGTCTATGATTAAGATGCTACTATGGTAGAACTGAGTGGCTCAAAAAAAGAAAACACAGCCTCTCCATTACTCAGTTCTATGTTCCTCTGTGCTGGTCTCTTTCTCAGACAGCCTCCCCCTAAGTGATGATAAAAATATTTATCAGCAACAATGGGTTTTTATTATCACACAACTGGAATTCCAAAGAATGGGAATGTTCTTTCTGAATAAATCTAGTAAAGGTCACTGGCTTTGCTGGGTGTCACATGTCTATCCCTGATCCAATCACCTTCCTTCAGAAGAGCGAAGGAATTTTATTGGTCAGACCTGGGACGGTACCCATTTCTGAGGCTGAGGTTAAAGTCAGCCTCGCCTAAACACGTGGACCAAGAATAGGAGATGCAGTTCTTTGTAGAGAAACTAGACTATAGGGGAAAACAGCTGAGAAATTTACTCCCCTTTCATTTCACGTCCCATCCTCAATTATATCCAATATTATTCAACACAGCATATCCAAGTTCAAAAACATTAAAATCCCAAATCAAATTCTGTAAGTTAAAGTTTAGAGAAAGTAAAGTCTTTCTGATTTATTGGTCTGTTCATTTTCAGCTTTAGGAGTTTTTCCAGTAACACCTGTGATCTGAGATCTCTCTCACTAGAATTGAGGTACTTATCCCAGGAAAAATGTTATTCCCATAATACAGTATTTATTGTGATTTAATGATATCCAAAATAGGAAGGGAAGATGGATGGCTCTCAATAGGATGCCAGGAAGTCTGTGCAATTGTCCAGAATCCATGGTCTATGAACCTAAACACAGTGAGGAGACTTCCCCCCATGGAAAATCAATTCAGGCACTATACACTGACTATATCTAGGGTAGGAGAATGTCCTACATAAACTGTCTCCTTTCTTATAAATTTGAGACACCACTGCCTTCTGGCAAAGTTATAAATTTGCAACAAGTACAACCCAAGCACCAGCTTTTACCTGAGATTTCTTTCTTTGTATCCTGTGGATCCCAGTAGATTTCCATTTCCCCACCGAGCTCTGTGTTCCCAGCACTGACGTGCTGCACTGATAGTAAGTTTTACCTGGTAACACAACCTCCACAATATTTTGGGGACAGGCAGTCCCTTTTTCAGTGTCATATTTCAGTGGCTGCCACCTCTGCTTTATTGAGGACCTGCTTATGCCTAAGACACTCCCCTCTAAAGGAAGTTGCTACTCTTTCTCACCTTGATTTCAGCTGGAAGATCTTTTCCAGACTGCCAAACTGAAGCGGCTTTTGATGTTTCTCAGCGGTGCGCCCCTAGGGGCCCAGGAAGAGCAGTGCCTCTGCCGCATGTTCCTCAGGACACCAGCATTTCCGGGCTCTCCTCTGCCTTTGGGTTCCGTAAAGTTCTTAGACATGATCCCTCAGGATACTGACAATGCCTACTTGCTTACTTTCTACATTACCTTTAAACTCTGAAACTCCAGTATTTTCACCTTTTTTTTTTTTTGAGACAGAGTCTCGCTCTGCCGCCCAGGCTGGAGTGCAGTGGCCGGATACGAATTCTTCACATCTCCTCCACAAAGCTTTCGGGAAACTGAGTCCTGCTTCTAACTTTGGAAGTAATTCAGTCTAGTTTAAGCCAAGCTGCAGAATCCATTCCCCCAGCAAAAATTACTGGTATGTGACCTAAGCTAGACCAGTCAGGATGAATCCCGGAACTTTTCCTTGCAAATGCTCGATAAAAGCACTCTTGCTCCCCCTACTGGTTGTGAAAAAAGAAGCATGCGCTGGCAGCCATACTACAACTCCAAGAAGAGTGCATGATAGAACTCGGATGGAAAAATAATTGTCTTTATCAAAGTATCACCTTGGAAGAGACTAGATTTACTTCAAAGAAAAACTGACCAAACTAATTGAGGGACTCCCCTTTGAGAACAGAGTGCCAACTCTAGAGCATATTCCTTTCTATATGTTTATATTCACTGGTGGAAAACCCCTGTCCTGTGAGGGTGGGTTTAATTTTTTAAACACCCTAGAAGTTACTCAAAACCAAAAGTAATTAGGTACGTGATCAATTTTAGTAATGACATTTCCAGGGTTTTTAAAAAGTAGAACTTTTTACTTATGAGTAGTTTCCTTATTGCTAAAACACTGGTCCTGAAGTCAGTATCTCTTTTTGAGCATGTAAAACCACTTCCGTTAAATGTGGGAAGAAAATGTTTTCACTTCTTTATTGCATCTTAGTGAACTTTGGATTTTCTTTGACATTTAAAAATAGTTAAATTCTATTGAAGTCTCAAAATAGCTAATCTTTTTTTAAAAAAGTTTTAGCACCTGTACATTTTAAGGGCTAAAACTCCAAGTTTACTTTGTCAAATTGCCAGGGCAACCAAGAACAGCGCCATATTAACACCTGCGTGTGACATCGTTGACTGAAGACATTGCAAAGAGGATGTTTAAAAGTTGAATGTGTATTCTGCATAGTCTGGCGCTCTCAGACAGCCAAACAGGATAGAGGCCAGATGGTTCCATATCTGTGTGGCCTCCCACATATCTTACATGCATTTGGAGTTCCTATTTTATAGAATTAACTGTTGCCAATTCCTTGTAACTCTCAAAACCCCCTTATTATCCATTCCAACAAAGGACATAGATATAATAAAGTTTGGCAAGAAACATTTAATCCATTTCAGTTCTCCCAAGTAGTACTATTCCTCTATCAATCTAAAGACACCAAATTTTGTCCTATTTTTAAAAATACCTCCAGTGAAGGCATTTTTGCCAGTAACTTATTTCAGAATCAAGGATTCTAAGAGTCTGGTTTTTGTTATAACAAATAATCACACAATTATTTTTAAGACCATGGTGAGAAATATATTGTACTGATCTTCTCAATATCTCTTTTGCAGAAAGATGAGTCCTTGTGAAGCTTACTTTTATAAAAAGTAAACTATAGGACAGTAAACTGATAGGACATAAGAAAGTCAGAATCTCTGATAACCTGGCAAGCTTTTCCACACTTTTACTTATAATATTTTGAGATGAACAAATGATTAAGAGGAATTTTTCTTTGAGGCTTGGCTTTCCTAATTCTAGATAATAATCATTTGAGATTTTACAGCATTTTTCTTCAGAGATGCTCTAAGAACAGCCATCTCATTTGTCTTCAGGAGGCAAATGTAAAATTGAGTGTTTCATTTTTTACTTTAGAAATGAATTTGTGGCCAGGCATGGTGACTCACACCTGTAATCCCACCACTTTGGGAGGTTGAGGCAGGCAGATCACCTGAGGTCGGGAGTTTGAGACCAGCCTGACCAACATGGAGAAACCCCGTCTCTACTAAAAATACAAAAATTAGCCGGGCATGGTGGCACACGCCTGTAATTCCAGCTACTCGGGAGGCTGAGGCAGGAAAATTGCTTGAACCCGGGAGGTGGAAGTTGTGGTCAGCTGAAATCACACCATTGCACTCTGGCCTGGGCAACAAGAGTGAAACTCCATCTCAGAAAAAAAAAAGAAATGAATTTGTAATGTATCTAATGGAGAGCCAGAGTTTCTCCTTCTGTAAACACAGTAATAAAAACAATCTTAAGAAGTTTTGTCATTTTTAAAAATGATTCAATCATCTAAGTCCAGAAAATAAAATGGTTATGGGACCAAACTAAAAACAAAAATTAGTGAAAAGGAGACCCTCCTTTTAATTTCTTCCAATTAAAATTTTTAAAGTGTGCATTGGATGGAAGGAAACAAGAGAGTTGATATAATCATAACTGTACATAGTGCCTAGTATATAACACAGGAAGCACAAAGTTTATCTCCCAAACAAATATGACAATGAGTTATTGAAACCACAAGCTGGTTTATTTATCAATGATGTCAGTACTTAAAGTTGTCCAGTTAAAATCTACTTCCTCTTGGAAAACAAAAATACACTGAAGGAAGATGGAAAAAGGTAGGAGTGGTATCATGATTTCACAGCAGTGATTGTAAGACAGCGAGCCACAGGGACATGGGAAAACTTGAAAAGAGACAAATATCAGGACCAAATTAGAGAAGATCTGAGTAGGGCCATCAGTAGAGGTGAAAATGGAGAAACCTAAGGAAACCAGTGTTGGTATGAATTATGCAAGTGGAAAATACATCTGTAGAGGGACTAGATAGAAGGACCTAAATCTAACTCCAAGTACTTGATTGGAGAAGAGAGAAAGAGAATGTATAGAATTAACTGTATAGAAGCCTCAAAAATAAGATTATCAGCCTAGTCATGTAAAGTCTAGAAGTTAGTTTATTTGCTCATCACCTTTTTCTATAAGACTATTAAGCAGAAGGTCAGAACAGCAAATTTACCCTTTCCTCTCCTCTCTTGGTTTAAATTGTATAAGGAACCTGAAGAGGCTGTGGATCAGTTGGTATTACAGGGGGAAGAGCTTATTGAAGCAAGGTTGACAATACATCTTGTCATTCTGCTCCCTGAAAATGCCCTTCGACAACTGTGTCAGGCAGAAAGCACACACAAAGTGCTCAGGATGGAACTTGTGCCCCATGGCACTGATACAACGGCCAGTGATGGGCTGTCCACATCCATGGCAGAGCGTTCCCCGGCGGTGATGGTAATGGAGCTCACAGAATGGACGTCCATCCAGTTCAAAGAAGGAACCAGTAGAAAAACTGGTGAAGCAGTCCTAGGGGTAGAGAGAAGAGAGAGAAAAGGAATGCAAATGTCAAGAGGTAAAATGTCAGCAAAGTAAAATTTTCAGCCTTGAAATTCCTGCCAGTTACCTGCCAGCTACAGGAATTTCCCTCAGATTCTTGACAAATGGAGGCTAGATTGCCTGCTTGCAAAACAGACAAGCAAATGCCCACAATGGATTTGTATCTCATTTCTCCTTTAGGATGCCCACATCCATTCCTCATTCAGGACTGCGAATCCTTTCACTAACTGCAGCCCTTCCTCTCAGAGAGGAGAACCCTTGATTTTCCCTAAGTCCAGAAGAAAAGTGATTATACAGACCCCACAAACAAAGCATTCTGGGTGCCAGACAGTGTCCATGGCTGATAGGTAGTTTTCCAACACTGGACGATTGCAGCCACCACACTTGGGTGAGAACATGGCTAAGAAATCCTTTCGGCAATATGGCTTCTTGTCCTTCTCATGAAAGCCTGGAGAGATAAAATCAGGAATTCACTGTTGCAGGTTGAGCCCTGAAAGCTACACTGGAGACTGAGAGGAGGCCCTTTCAATCTCAGTGTCCTTGTATTCAAAATAGGATGATTATTGTTACCTAATTCAAAGGGTAGTTGTAAGAAATAAATGAGATAATGCAGGTGAAGTGTTTGGCAGTCTCAGTGTCCTTGTATTCAAAATAGGATGATTATTGTTACCTAATTCAAAGGGTAGTTGTAAGAAATAAATGAGATACTGCAGGTGAAGTGTTTTGGCATTGTGTCTGGTTCATAGTAAACATTTAATAAGTGTTAGGGGCTATTGCTCCTCAGTGCCTTTGTACTAAGTATTCCCTTGGCTTGGATAGTTCTGTCCCAGAGCCAGATATAGTTGCCCTCTTCATGTGATGCAGGAATCACTCAAATATCATCTTATCAGAGAGGCATATCTTCAGTCCCTCCTTGTCACATCATCTTCTTTCACTGTCTTTATAGCATTTACCATTATCTAAAATCATCTTTGTGATCTGTCTCTCCTTACAGGAACATTAGCTCTGAGAGAAACTAGATATTGTTGATCTTGTCACCACTATATCTCTAGTATCTAAAACAGCATCTGGGAAGAAAAAAAAGTGTCTAATATTTTAAAATAAAATACTAGTAAGTAATAATTTCCAAATGGATGCAAGATCTAGACAGTGACTCATACCATATATTAAAATTAAAAACAGATGTATTCCTCCTTTTTATTTTTTGTGTGGGTATATTTTGATTGTTTACCAGCAGTGTATGAAAATCCCAGTTCTTCCTCAGTCTTTATATCACTTGATATATCCAGATATTTCCTGTTTAATCAATCAAATGGATGTTATCTATCTGTACAATGTCATCTCATGGTAGTTTTGATTTGTATTTCCCAAAAGGCTAATGATACTTAGGGTTTTTGTTGTTGTTGTTGTTGTTGTTTGTTTTGTTTTGTTTTGTTTTTCAGACAGAGTCTCGCTCTGTCACCAGGCTGGAGTGCAGTGGCAAGACCTTGGCTCACTGCAAGCTCTGCCTCCCAGGTTCACGCCATTCTCCTGCCTCAGCCTCCCGAGGAGCTGGGACTACAGGTGCCCGCCACCACGGCCAGCTCATTTTTTTGTATTTTTACTAGAGACGGAGTTTCACCATGTTAGCCAGGATAGTCTCGATCTCCTGACCTCGTGATTTGCTCACCTCGGCCTCCCAAAGTGCTGGGATTACAGGCGTGAGCCACCGCGCCCAGCCAGGGTTTTTTTTAATGTGTGCATTTGCATTTCATATCTTGTCATTAATGATGTATTCCTCTTTAATCTGGAAATAGAAAAACTGTCATAAATAGGGCCCAAATTCCAAAAGCAAGTTAAATATTAATAAATTTAGCTACATAAAAAAAATCTGAATGACTTACACATGTCAAAAAAGCACCATAAACAAAGACAAAGAACAATCTGAAGAAAATATTTGCTGATTATGTTCTAGAAAAACATAGCTAATACAAAGAGCTCCTAAGTATAAGTATGGTTTCAATTATTGTTGTATAAAATTAAAAAGTGAAAAAATTAAAATAGAAAAACACAAATCCCTAAAAAATTCAATCAAATTGAAGCAAATTAACTGTACATCAAACTGATGACACAAGCAATAAAAGAAATAATTCGGAGATTGCTGGCAGGATGGCCCAATAGGAACAGCTCTGGTCTGCAGTTCCCAGGGAGACCGATGCACAAGGCAGGTGATTTCTGCATTTCCAACTGAGGTAACCAGTTCATCTCATTGAGACTGACCGGACAGTGGGTGCAGCCCATAGAGGGTGAGCCGAAGCAGGGTGGGGTGTCACCTCACCTGGGAAGTGCAAGGGGTCAGGGAACTCCCTCTCCTAGCAAAGGGAAGCCATTAGAAACTGTGCTGTGAGGAATAGTGCACTCTGGCCCAGATACTGTACTTTTCCCACCATCTTCACAACCGCAGACCAGGAGATTCCCTCTGTGCCTACACCACCAGGACCCTGGGTTTCAAGCACAAAACTGGGTGGCTGTTTGGGCAGACACTGAGCTAGCTGCAGGAGTTTTTTGTTTATTTGTTTGTTTTTTCATATCCCAGGGGTGCCTGGAATGCCAGTAAGACAAAACTGTTCACTTCCCTGGAAAGGCGGCTTAAGCCAGGGAGCCAAGTGGTCTGGCTTGGCAGGTCCCACCCCCATGGAGTCCAGCAAGCTAAGATCCACTAGCTTGAAATTCTCGCTGCCAGCACAGCAGTCTGAGCTCGCCCTGGGATGCCAGAGCTTGGTGTGGGGAGGAGCATCCACCATTACTGAGGCTTGAGTAGGTGGTTTTACCCTCACAGTGTAAACAAAGCCACTCAGAAGATCAAACTGGGTGGAGCCAACTGCAGCTCAGCAAGGCTGTTGTGGCTAGACTGCCTCTCTAGATTCCTCCTTTCTGGGCAGAGCACCTCTGGAAAAAAAAGGCAGCAGCCCCAGTAAGGGGTTAATAGATAAAACCCCTAAATCCCTGGGACAGAGCACCAGGGGTAAGGGGTGGCTGTGGGCTCAGCTTCAGCAGACTTAAACATCCCTGCCTGACAGCTCTGAAGAGAGCAGTGGATCTCCCAGCACAGGGTTTGAGCTCTGCTAAGGGTCAGACTGCCTCCTTGAGTGGGTCCATGGCCCCCATGTCTCATGATTGGGTGACACCTCCCAGTAGGGGCTGACTGACACCTCATACAGGAGATCTCTGGCTGGCATCTGGCAGGCACCACTCCAGGATGAAGCTTTCAAAGGAAGGAACAGGCAGCAATCTTTGCTGTTCTATAGCCTCTGCTGGTGATACCCAGGCAAACAGGGGCTGGAGTCTACCTCCAGCAAACTCCAGCAGATCTGTAGCAGAGAAGCCTGACTGCTAGAAGGAAGACTAACAAACAGAAAGGAATAGCATCGACATCAACAAAAAGGACATCCACTCAGACACTCCATCTGAAGGTCACCAAGTTCAAAGACCAAAGGTAGAAACATCCAAGAAGATGGGGAGAAACCAATGCAAAAAGGCTGAAAATTCCAAAAACCAGAATGCCTCTTCTCCAAAGGATCACAACTCCTCACCAGCAAGGGAACAAAACTGGATGGAGAATGAGTTTGACGAATTGACAGAAGTAGGCATCAGAAGGTGGGTAATAACAAACTCCTCCGAGCCAAAGGAGCATGTTCTAATCCAATGCAAGGAAGCTAAGAACCTTGAAAAAAGGTTAGATGAATTGCTAACTAGAATAACCAGTTTAGAGAAGAACATACATGACCTGATGGAGTTGAAAAACACAGCACAAGAACTTTGTGAAGCAAACACAGGTATCAATAGCCGAAACGATCAAGCAGAAGAAGGGATATCAGAGATTGCAGGTTAACTTAATGAAATAAAGCAAGCGGACAAGATTAGAGAAAAAATAATGAAAAGAAATGGGACTCCAAGAAACATGGGACTATGTGAAAAAACCAAACCTACGTTTGACTCGTGTATACCTGAAAGTGATGGGGAGAATGGAACCAAGTTGAAAAACACTCTTCAGGATATTATCCAGGAGAACTTCCCCAACCTAGCAACATTCAAATTCAGGAAATACAGAGAACACCACAAAGATACTCCTTGAGAAGAGCACCCTCAAGACACATAATCATCAGATTCACCAAGGTTGAAATGAAGGAAAAAATGTTAAGTGCAGCCAGAGAGAAAGGCCGGGTAACCCACAAAGGGAAGCCCATCAGACTAACAATGGATCTCTTGGTAGAAACCCTACAAGTCAGAAGAGAGTGGGGGCCAATATTCAACATTCTTAAAGAAAAGAATTTTCAACCCAGAATTTCATATCCAGCCAAACTAAGCTTCATAAACAAAAGAGAAAATTCTTTACAGACAAGCAAATGCTGAGAGATTTTGTCATCACCAGGCCTGCCTTACAAGAGCTCCTAAAGGAAGCACTAAACACAGAAAGGTGTAACTGGTACCAGCCACTGCAAAAACATACCAAACTGTAAAGACCATAGATGCTATGAAGAAACTGCATCAGCTAATAGGCAAAATAACCAACTAGCATCATAATGACCAGATCAATTCACACATAACAAGATTAACCTTAAATGTAAATGGGTTAAATGCCCCAATTAAGAGACACAGACTGGCAAATTGGATAAAGAGTCAAGACCCATCAGTGTGCTGTATTCAGGAGCCCCATCTCACGTGCAAAGACACGCATAGGCTCAAAAAAAAAAAAAAAGGGATGGAGGAATATTTACCAAGCAAATGGAAAGAAAAAAAAAAAAAAAAAGCAGGGGTTGCACTCCTAGTCTCTGACAAAAAAAGACTTTAAAACAACAAAGATCAAAAGAGACAAAGATGGGCATTCCATAATGGTAAAGGGATTAATGCAATAAGAACTAACTATCCTAATTATATATGCACCCAATACAGGAGCACCCAGATTCATAAAGCAAGTTCTTAGAGACCTACAAAGACCCAGACTCTTAGACTCCCACACAATAATAGTGAGAGACTTTAACGCCCTCCTGTCAATATTAGACAGATTAATGAAACAGAAAATTAACAAGGATATTCAGGACTTGAACTCAGCTCTGGACCAAGCTGACCTAATAGACATCTATACAACTCTCCACCCGAAATCAACAGAATATACATTCTTGTCAGCATCGCATCGCATTTATTCTAAAATCAGCTACATAATTGTAAGTAAAACACTCCTCAGCAAATGCAAAAGAACAGAAATCATAACAAACAGTCTCTCAGACCACAGTGCAATCAAATTAGAACTTAGGATTAAGAAACTCACTCAAAACCGTAAAACTACATGGAAACTGAAAACCTGCTCCTGAATAACTACTGGGTAAATAACAAAATTAAGGCAGAAATAAAGAAGTTATTTAAAACCAATGAAAACAAAGACACAATGTACCACAATCTCTGGGACAC